GGCCAAGAAGCGAAAGGGGAAGCAACCCTTGAAGGGCACAAGGGGCCCTGAGAGCAGCAGCAGCAGCAGCAGCACCCCCCTCCCCGATGGCGAGGCAGAAGCGAGGCATTCCGTAGGCGGCCACTGGGGTGTTGCCCCGGCGCCGATCGGAACGGTCGGAGGATCTTTCGCCGCCGCGACTCGTTCCGCGGAATCTTCTTCTTTTCTCGGGGAGCCGCCGGCGGTGAAACTCGAGCAGCAGTACCAACAGCAGCAACAGCAGTGGCAGCAGCAGCAGCTGAAAGCAAGCGTGCCGCGGTTGCAACAGCACCAACAGCAACAGCAACAGCGACAGCTCCATGGCCCCGCCGGTGTTCTTGTGGCCAGCTCTGCGGCAGGAGGAGGCTTATTCCCCACGGCAACCGCTGCGTCCGTGGCCATGACCAACCCCGCGGGGGGACCCCTCGGAGTGGGAAACGTCGGGTTCCCCCCCCACGCCGCCACCGCCGGGGACCATTCCCGGGACGGTTCCCGGGACGGTTCCGGGGCTGCTGGGTCCTTCGGTCCCCCGTTGGGTGGTGCTGCTTCGGGGAGTGACATGCCGTCCTTCATGATGTAACCGTCGTGGACGTGGTACGGTAGGCGTCTCCACCCCGCTCCCGGGGCATCTCATTTTCATTGTTTCATGGGGGAGCGGAGGGGGCGAGGGATGTACTCATAGTCGTGCATGCCGTATTCGTTACGCCGTTGACCTCGCATCCCTGCATAGCCGGGACGGAGCACGACGGGTTCTCACAGGACCAGGCTCTCACATCACCAAGCTAGAAGCACCGTGCGGTTTTCATTGTTACCTGGGGGAGAAGGAGGGCGCTAACTGGTGCCCCTGTCGCCGGTCACTTGGTTCCGTCCGTGTTTGTTACCCAACGTGGCTCCAAGATAGAGAAAGACGTTTCTGTGTGTTGGTACGGGGGGGGGCGGGTGTACGTATGTTGTCGCATGCCGTAGTCGGTAGACCATTGACTTCGCATCCCTATGCACACGATGCTGGGACGGGGGAGCGATGACCCAGATTTTCAACGGCCCAGGCTATCCACGTTCCACAAGACGTTTCACAAGGATAAAACAGAAGAAGCTGGTCGTTGTCGTCATCCTTGCTGCTGCCGGGGGGTGTATAGGTACAAGGGGGAAAAGGAGGGAGGGTATTGCGGCATAATTTTTTTTTTCTTGTGAATTGGTGTGGCGAGGTAACTAGCGACTCAACGCCTTCTTAATTTGCGTTGGTTGAAGGGGGGGGAACTTGTTAGCGATCTCAAGGCACTTTTTTCTTTACAATGTTACAGGGAGATAAAAGACGGCGTAAGGATTTTTTTCTTTGGATTGGTATGAATTTAGCGGGGTAACTATCGACCTGAGGCTTTTTTCGTCGGAGTGGTAGGGGGGGGGCAACTAGCGACCCTAGGCTTTTCTTGTTTGGGTTGGTATGCACACAGAGGGGTCAAGTGGTCCAGTCATTTTTTTTCCGTTTGTCCGATTGGTTCTGTAGGGTCATCGTTTCTCTTTTTGGTGATCTATGCGGACCACTCGGGTCCATTTGTTTTCTAGTATATATCTCCCTTTTTTGGGTATGATACCCTAAAAACCACGGGAATCGACCGTGTAAAATGTTAAACTACAGTACGGACAAATAAAGGTACATGGGAAACGAGATTGGAACGGTTTGTACTTTAGTGTGAAGACAACAGCAACAACCAACGTAGGAAGATGTGCTCTTCCGCCACAAAGACGCCGCAAAGCGTTGCGGCGACGGGAACGTGGGGTCCGGAGCAATCGGGCTTCGAGTATTTGTCTGGGCGGGGCTGCTATCTCGCCGCCACTTTTAGTAGACGCTGTAGTGCGTGATATCAAGGGGGCTCGATCAAGCTCTTGTCGGCACCTGGTCGGGTGGATGGTCCGTGGCATGGTGTGGCATGTAGGGAAGTTACAGTTTATGGCGAGAGATGCCCCCGGCTCATGAGCTCATGAATTGTTGTTGCTTCGTGTCGTGATGGAGGGAAGATTGAGCGCTGTAGGAGTGGCGATGGGGGTGACACGGGTGCAATGCAACTCTCTCGCCCGACCCGCGCGCATTCGTACATGATGTTGTTCGCCGGATCGACCGCAGTAACTAGGAGGGACGGAATGCCAAACATAGCCGTATCCATGAGGAACGGAATGCTATGGAATGAGGAACCCGGCGGTGGTGTCTCATTCCATGCGCTCAGCAAGTGGGAGGGAACTGGATGGAATGGGATGTGATTGAATGGCGCAGGGATGGGAGGGTGTTCGATTGATTTTGTATATTGGATGGACTTCTGACGAGAATTACGGCGCAGGCGGTATTCCGTTGTTTACTTTTTTCCGTGGAATTCCGCGAAGAGCTGAGTTATGCCGTTCATGTTGCGGAACAAATATACCATGTTATTGTTTTTGTGTGCCGTATGACTGCTTTGTGGATATACCGCGGAATCACGACATTCCGTTTTCTAAGTAAACGGGTTAACCACGGGAGGTTAGCAACCGTACGAAGAGTGGCTATCGGGTCTGCGGTAGCAGGGGGTAGGGAGCAGGGTACAGTAGGATTGTGCTGTATGTGGGTGACGTACGTGTGAAGGCAGCGGAGTTCGTACAGAGCTTGTGACGGAGAAAAGCCAAACTTAGTCGCTTTTCGACGGTGTTGTTGAGTAGTCGTTACAGGGCGTGCCAAGGTGGAGTCAGGTTGTGGTCGAGTGATGTGGAGTTTCAACATGGACGCTGGCATCGCCACCACGCTACCGCTCTTTTGGGGTCCAACGTTTTTTTTTTCAATGTTTGGTGTGCTTGTTATCGCTTGGATAGATCGGCGAGCGAGAGGGGGCTGAAGCAACGGGGGCGCTTCTTTAGACGCCGATGATTTTCGCGGTCTTGTTTTGTAGATGATGACTTGAACTATGTGATGACAACGGTAGACAACGGTATGTATGTGTACGTCCTTGGTGGTGACTACTGAGATGTGTGGAACGTCCCGGGCGCTCACAGTACGATACTCTGTACGTGAACTTTCGCTGCATGTTTTGGCCCCATGTTCAAAACGAAGCAAGGGACGGTCGTAAAATAGAAACCCCGCTGGTGCTGGTCGGAGAGGCAGCTATTTAGGGCGTTTTATTTGGATGTGTTGTGGCCGGTTTTAGAAAAGGGGTGCGTGCGTGTTTTCTAGCTCTGTGTCGTGTGTCGCCTCATGAGCCGATAACTGTTTTTTTCAGTTCACTTTTCGGTACATTATATATGCGATTTCTTTGTGCTTGAGAAATGCAGCGGTTTCCTTTGTGGCCCTGTTTTTCTTGGTCTTTGCCTCTTCTTTTTTTTCTGTGCTCAATACTCTCTGCCTATGTTTCTTTTTTTCTGTTTTGAGTTTGGAGAGCACGATGGAGTCCAAACTGCACCGATCGTCAGATCTCGCAGGAGTCTTTCCAACCATTGAAACCTGAGCATGCTTATCTTGCTAGGGTACTCTCTCCCCAGTCTTACAAGACTGGTGAGGGTTCGGGTTACAGAATCGGGCAAAAAACACGCTTTTGTTGCTGTTGGCGAAGACCTCTCTCTTCCGTTCCGGGGCGGGACCAACAGCAAGCAGGACCAACCATAGCGTGCAGAAAAATCCATCGATCAGCTTGATGAGCGCGGGCGGGTGTAACTTATGTACATACGACCAGAGACAGTCGAAACTGAGTGTGGCTGGTGAACAGCGTCCGACTTTCATGAAGGCGGGAACAGCAGCACCGCAGCGTACCAACAGTCCACGGTTCTTAGGCAGGCCGATGCGTCCGTCCGTGATTGATTTCGAAGAGAGAGGCGATTTAAGTCCCATTCATTAGTTTGTCTTTCATTCTTGACTCATCCTATGGAAGACACTACTACGGTATATCATTGGCTACGCGACTAGTCGATGCAGTCTACACCTCCCAATCTCACGAAAGTGTTCTTATTTTGATGTTCGCGAGCGGCTTCTTCTTTTGTCTCAAATGGACGGGTTTGAGCTCACGCGCGTTCAGTCCTGTTGACAGTCGAAGAAGACGAAGAAAACATGACTTGTGGCGGTTACAAATTCTGTACATATTGTACTCCCTCCCGTGAATGTCGACCCGGGTACTGAAGGCACCAAGCAAGGCTGTGCAAAATTACCTGCACCGTAAATATTTTTTTGCGGTGCAGACAACCACGCCACCAATATCAATCGCATCATCTTGGTAAGTGTCCAGTAGTATAGACTAATCGTTGTTTTCCGTAGGCCGCAGACACTCATCAGTCTGAACAGCATTGTGTTGGCTTACATGCATGCCTCGTCATGTCAATGATGATTGATTTGGCGCTGGGGTCGTTGTCTGGTCCCTCCCCCACCTCGCATACGATATTTGTTTCACTTGTCACAGCGTCAATAATACATCGACGGTTTGTCGCCTTAGACTAGTCTACTTGTACAACACAAGCCCTCTGGATTCGGCTCTGTAGCCTGTAGCGCAGCTACATATAGGGCCGTTTTAAACTGACCGACTTTTTGTCAAAATCTTTGAAAGTGTCAAAAAAATGGAACCTGTATGTAGGCGTTTGTCCATTTTTTTCAAAAATATTTGGAACGAAGTTGGGCGCGAAAACTTTGCTTCACTTCGTTCCAACTTTTTGACAACCCTCTCAAAGTATTTGGAGCACTTTCCAAAGTACCCTTGCAGAGGCACGCGAGGGCTGCTGCGTCTGCACCACGAGTGCCCCTCACCGTAGAAAGTCAGCTAGGGTTGTGTGTGAGTCATCTGTCGCTGTCGCTATTGCTATCGTCGCTGTTGCCAACGTTGACGATGCTGTCTGCTGTTGCTGTGTCGTCCGAAAAACGGCGGTCCGCCATGATGGCTTGCAGTTGTTGCTTCGCGTCCGCCGCTTTGTTTTTTCCTTTTCCCGGGGGGGTAGGAGCAGTGGTTGCCACCCCTCGCCGGTGGCCTGCTCCACCCTCGCTCGGAGTGTTGGTGGCGGCAGCGCCTCCCGTGGTAACATGAGTGTTCCCCGAGATGCCAGGCAGCAGCACTATCTTGCTGGAGAGCAAGCCTCCACCGCCTACGGCGGCACCGAGAGAGCCCGTCTGCTGGAATTTCGCCGGGGTTTTGGTCTGCCGGCCACGCTGGGTGGTCGTGATATCCATGTCGGTGTCCATGATGTCGTGTTTTCCGCGGTTTGTGTTGTGTCGTCTGTGTTGTCTCGAAGTGAGCGCTACAACTCACGGACGGCGTCATTTTTTTTGACACAAGTTGCACAAGTCTACGTCACACGTTTAAAATGACTGCACACAGGTTCCAAGTTTTTGAAAGACAAATGTCGAAAATTTTGACAAAAAAGTCGGTCCGTTTAAAACGGTCCATAGTACTGCCGTAAGTGGTAGCGAGAGGATCGTGGATGGAGATGGCAAAACGCGGGGAAACAAATCCGGCCCAGAAACCGTAGACTAGGTATGCATAGTAGGGACAATCTGGGCTATTTTTATATGTATATATATATATATATATTTTTTTTTTTTCTTAATGTCACACAGCAAATCCATCTCTATCTATCTATAGAAATAGGTCTAAGATAGATTAGCAATGAATCCATAGCGTGATCGAAAGGCTACCTGTATGTCTACGGTTTCCCAGACAGCATACATACAACGATATCTCCACAAACATGCTCAACAAGACAGTTTGGTAGTCATCTTGCGTATCCATGAGTATGTTATGTTGGGAAGTTGTAGACGGAAGATTTAGGGGAACTCGGGTTGTCGGGTGTTCTACTATGGCACCCTTACGTGTTTGCGGAGCAAGCAAGCGCGTCTCGGGGGTGTGTATAGTCTATATATTTTCGTCATCAACTTATTTTTTGTCTGTGACGTATGGGGGCATGTGCGGCGCGGGAGAACATATTTACCTTGTGTGATGGCATGTCGTTAAATGTGAGAAGGGCACGGGAGAACATTATCTCACCATTGCCTCCTGACGTGGCCGCCGATAGAGGCGTGTGGTTGGGGTTTCATCACTGACATGTGGGTGTGTGTTAAATGCAGTGGGTTTTCGCGCGCAGCCCGAAAAAACTTGAAAAGGCACTTTTTCCAGATTGATGGGCCGTTTTTCGCCTTCGAGCGTGACTTTTGTACTTCCCCGTACATAGGAGGCGTGAGGGGGGCACACCCCCCCAATAAATACGCGGAGTTATCGAGCCACGGTGAGACTACTTTGCAAGTCTCTCCGAAGAGGCACAGCACCGGGATGCGTGGCACAAGGAAACCAGTAACCAGCAACTTGGGCGCCAGGTCCACTGAAGGTCCCATCACCAACTGGCCCGTTGCGCGGCAGACTGGGAACCGAAACCGCTAACGTCCGCACGTTCTGGCGTGAGAGGAAGCGTCGGCGGCGGGTGCGCACGGAGGCCGCACAAATAAGGTCTGCGAACAGGCAACTAGACTGTTGTTGTTTCCAAGACTGAAACGAGGCGCAGACGAGAATAACCATCATGTCGTCCATCCTGACTTGCGAGACGGGCTTCAGAGCGCCCGGGTTGCAGGACGGGGAAGCCGTCCAAGCCCCGATACGCATACTCTCGACTCTCATATCTGTGACCATCGTTAGTGCGTGGTGCAGCTGGACAAAGATCAGGAGGCTCAGCCTGTTCTTCTCCCACTGGCTCAGGTATTTAGGTGCTCTGTTGTTTGTGGACTTGTATCATCGGCAGTTTCCGGAAACACGGCAGACAGATGTAGTCTTGATTATTTGTTCTTTGTCCACTTCGCACCACAGCACGGAGTATTGGGGCGTAGAATACATCAGGGGGATGTCCATGCTCAGCGTGTGTGAGTGTGGAACTTCTCGTCTGGTGGCCGCCTGCGCTCATTTCAACCGGCTCATTTTTTGTCGGTCCGCAGACACCATTAAAAATATCTAGACTAACCCGGTTTCGCACCTGCAAGTAAGTTGTGTGCTTGCTTGCTCCCTGTGTTGGTGCAAGGAGGGTATTTGAATCGGATGCCAGTACACGCAACGAAACGTTGGGGTCACCTGGCGGACGCCGTTCTATCCTGTGTTACGTGTTCACCATCACCCGGCCCCACCTTGCGACGCGGCGTGTACTCGAAATCACAATATACGTAGACTAGTCTAAGTACCAAGATTGAACCAAGAGGGTGTACCTCTTTCTCTCCGGCCCGTGATGGTGACCCCTAGTCTCAGTTGCTACCTCGCATAGCGCGCAGAGGGAGTGGAGGACTCCAGAATATCTGTCGTTGATTTCTATTGACTTGCGGACCCCTCGGGGCCAGTGTACTTGAGTGTACCTTTTTAGGGTAAGTTGGCCTGCGACCACGGGAATCGACCGCGTCGAGTGTTGGATCAGTAGACTAGCTACGGAGAGAGATCGGAACGGTTTTTCTTATTGCGAAGGCAACAATTAACAAATACATGTAGTCTAGCACAGATACAGCAGTCGGGTGTGGGGCGATCGTTTGAACGTTCGTTGTGTGCGCAAATGCAATTTACGTGCCGTCGTTAAACAGTGCATCGACGACGATGATCCCTGTCAGCGGCACAGACTACTACTACTACTACTACTGTCGACGAAAAAGGCATTGACTCTTTGTTTTTCTTTGCGAAACAATCAGAGAACGCCGAATGATCGACGGATAATGTACAAGCAAGCGTCGTTCGTACCGGCCGGAATGGCCACCATTTTGGAACCACTTAGGAACCATTTAGGAAACCGGTTGCTGTTTCGTAGTGGTTTTCGAGAGGCTTGCGCCGTGCTTTCTGGCTGCCCCAAGCCGAGCACCTACTGGACTAGACTATACCGATGCTTGATTCTTGTTTCCAGCTCAAGACAATAGTACAACATGCATCTTCTGCAGATTTGTATTGGCCGAGGCATGTGCCACTAAAGGTGGCAGCTTGCCCATCTATCATCTATGGTTATTCCCATACAACGATCGCTTGCCGCCCCGTACAAGGCGACAGCAACATTCATCAATTCCATCTGGTCTGTTCATCCATGTACTACTTTGAAGTACTTTTTTTTTTTTTTACTTTGATATTTTTGTGGATTTTCCGCGCACCTTGTGCACTCCAATCATGGACTCCTCCACTTTAACGGCTGTTTTATGTGCGTGTGCCGATGCATATCTCTGAACTAGAGGCGCCCGGAGATAGATGGAAAGGGCAAACAATCGCGGTCGAGGCTCAACGTGTTCCTAATTTTTTCGTCACCCCCCTCCGGCGGCGGAGACGGGCTTGAATGTAGGTACTGCTGTAGCTTCGCTCGCTCTCAAGAACGTCGCAGCTAAGAATTTCATGTTGTCAAGATGATATATCAAGCATTTAGAACTCTCCAGCACGACTTGTCATGATATCAAGCCTTTTGAACTCCAGCGCGATTTGTGATGATATCAAGCATTTTGAACTCCAGCGCAATTTGTGATGATATCAAGCATTTTAAACTTTCAAGCACGATTTGTGATGGTATCAAGCCTTTGGTACTCCAGCACGTTTGTGACGATATCAAGCATTTTTATTTAGAACGCGAGAGCGATCTGTGAGGCCGAAAGATAGGATAGCTGTCGCTACAACGAGCGACAGCTGATAGATGCAACTGTCGTCAGACGTGTGCGTCCGCGGGAGGTGGAAGAAATTGTTTTTTTTTGCAATTGACTTCATTGGTTACCCGCGACGGCGCCGAAGACGCCCATGTCCGTGTACCTGACCCTCGTAGTCCGTGCTAACTCCCCAAGCCTAACCTCTTCCTGCAGCCTACCCTTCATCGTCGATGAGTTTCCAAGGTTACCTATCCTGTCGAAACTCATGGGCTCTACGATGAAGTCCACAAGTCTCTTCGCCCTACTGAGACAGACGAAAGTAAGCCCCGTACAGGCCTCCTTGGGCCCCAAGTCTATGACGGCCTTGGCTAAAGTCTGCCCCTGTGACTTGTGCATCGTGATTGCCCAGCAGAGCCTAAGGGGCAGCTGCGTCCGGACCTGCGTCCCCCCGTCCTGCCACATGGTGTCGACGGGAGAAATGGGGACACAACCGCTATACCTCTGAAGTTGACGACAACGTCAGAGCACACAGTGCACACATGCATCCTCCGGGCACTCATGGGCTGCTGGAAGGTGGTTTGCATGTCGTCTCTGGCCCAACCCAACTTTTCTAGCGGCCTAGCAGCGTCAAACTCCGCAAGGTCTCTCCGCTTGACATGAGCCTCGCTCTCTCGCCTTGCCCTCTCGGCATCTCTGGCCGCTGCTGCCCGTTCTCTAGCCGCTGCACGCCTGCGAAGTGGGGTCCGTGAGGTTAGTCTAATCTGCAGNATTATCTAGCGGCCTAGCAGCGTCAAACTCCGCAAGGTCTCTCCGCTTGACATGAGCCTCGCTCTCTCGCCTTGCCCTCTCGG